AAAACTTTTTACCATTACTCAGAGTTGAATTTTTCCAATGTTTTTCTGCACCTGTTGGGATGATCATGATTTATCTCCTTGAACTGTTAATAGGCATTGACTGACCTTCAAATGTTGAATGAAAGCTTAACTTTGTGAAATATACTGAACTTGGTTTTATTCTGTTTGCTGATATTTTGTATAGGATCTTAGCCTCTTTGAAGATCAGAGAGGTTGAGCTATAGGTTTCCTTTTCTTTCCTTGCATTGCTGATCTTTTTAGATGGTGCAATTAAGACCAAGTTGGCACCACACCATAAACTACGGAATGTTCTCTCTCTTGTTATTCTGAAAACCAGTGTGCTCTGTAGACACTATTTCTTATATGTTGCTTGATAGGATTTGCTAATGAAGCCATCTTGGCCCAGAGTCTCACTTATGGACCCAGTTTCTTGGATCATTATGAGACTATTTATATTTTCTGTTTCTTATTTGTATATTTTAGTGAATTGTATTTTTCTAAGAGTTTTTTTTATCGCAACTAAATTTTTACGTTTGTTCAAGAGCTGTTCTATTTTTTCTATATGAATATAAGAATAGAAAAATATTTACAGTTTTTCTATTTCCATGAATTATTCAAGTTTTTAAATTCCTAATAATTTTCATGTTTTATAATGGTAGAAGGAGTTGTCTATGCTCTCCTTCCTGTCTGCTCCCAGCCTCGAGAAGGGCATTCTTTACCCTTAGTTCTGACTAAAATTTGAAAACCAGTGGTCCAGCAATTCTCAATTCTTTACTGAACATTAGACGCTTCTATGGGGTGTTATTTAAATGCCAGTAGCTCACCGCCACTGCAGAGCAATTCAGTCTATATTTTTAAGAGTATCCCGGGTGATTAAATGTGTATGCAGCCTCGAGAACCACTGATCTACATCACAGTTTCTCAACCTTGGTGCTATTGACATTTGGGGCCAGATAACTCTCTGTTCTGCGCATCACTGGTCTCCCGCAGCACCTCTGGCCTCCACCCACTAGATGCCGGTAATGTCCACCCCACATACCCCAGAGCTGTGACAACCCACAGTGTCCCCAGACATTGACAAATATCCAGTCATCAGGCACCCACAGTCCTAGGTCAGGTGAGGCAGCTGTAACAGGGATATGGATTAAATAAGAGACAATTCCAATGGTATGAGAACCATCTCTCCAATAGGCATGACATCAGAATGGACTGTTCCCCAGGCTGGTGATGCCCTGCTGTGTTTGTCAGCTGGAGCGGCCATAGCAAACGGGCACAGGGTGGTCTCCCCTGACAACAGAAATTAACCCTTTCCCAGTTCTGAAGGCTGGAAGTTCAAGGTCAATGTGTCAGCAGGTTAGGGTTCTTCCAAGGCCTCTCTCCTTGGCTCACAGATAGCTGCCTACTCTCCTGTCCTCATATGGCCTTTCCTTTGTGTGTACACATCCCTTTATGTGTCCCAATGTCTTCTTCTTATAAGGATCTATGTCCTAGTGGATTAGAGATGACATTTATGACCTCATCTAACCTTAATCACGTCTTGAAAGGCCCAACCTCCAAACACAGTCACATTGTGAGGCGCTGGCTGGTGAAGACATCAACTTACATTCTGGGGAAGGGGACACCATTCGGGCCATAAGACCTATCAACAGAGGCAAGCAAAACAGTAGCTTGGTCCCCACTGACTGGGAATATTGTAGGGCAGCTACTGCACAGAGTAGAAGACTAGTCCAGAAACCCTCTGATTATGAGATTCTGGGATATCAGGAAGAAGGCAGAATAAATTCCAAGTGGACAAACCGGGAAAGCATTATAGGGTAGCCATACTTTCAACCTGCCCCAAAAGGAAAACAGATTTCAGCGAAGATGGCGGTAAGAGAGATGGGGGAGCAGGGATTCTGGTCTGAGGGGTTGGCATCCCGAGGCAGCACGGGAGTGCGGGGAGTTGAGGAGAGCTCCCAGGGTCAGGAATGTACTCCAGCCTTGTTCGGGCAAAAGTACTATGTGATAAAATACTTATCTGGGGACTAACTTGAAATCCTTGCACACCTTCAAGCTCTCTGGGCAGAGGAAACCACATTCAGAAGCCAGCCCGCTGCCCATCGTCGGCTTCCGCTGGGCCACGGCTGGCACAGATCTCAGACTCTGCCAGGTCTTGAAAGAGAAAATGCTTCGCAGTGCTTTCAAAGAGTCACTTTACCAAATGTTCTAAAATCACCATGGCCACAAGCCACGAGTCTGAAGCGTTTCCTTTCCCTTCTTACAGGTGCAGGCTTTCTCAGTGGTCTTGGCCAGAGGTCTGACCACTACATGTGTGCCAGGAAAGGAGGCACCTGTAACTTCTCCCCTTGCCCGCTCTTCACCAGGTCGGAAGGCACCTGTTACGGCGGGAAGGCCAAGTGCTGCATGCGTTGACTCTGAGCTGGGTGCGACGGAGAAAGGATGGGGAAGTCCAACGAAGTATTTGTAACCACTGTTTTAATAAAGGAAGACCTTTTTTTAAGCATACCTCTTTCAGACCAGAGTGAATCTTGTCTCCTTTTGGAAGAGGTTGAGAGGGGATGGGGGTCAGGAGCAGAGATGGGCCAGGCCACAGGGCCTACACTGCACAGGGCTGGGGTTGCTGACCAGAGCTGAGCCGTGTCTGGTCATTGCCAGGCCAAGGTGTGGGCAACGTGGAGGGCGCCCGTGAGACCAAGGACACACAAGGAGAGGATGAGGCAGGCAAAGCCTTTCCTCGTCCACGCGGCAGCTTGCCCCACACTCAGCGGTCTGAGCAGCCTGTTCCGTGAAAACAGCCCATCTGCAGGGCCCATGTGCAGGGCCTCTCCCTTCCCCTGAAAGGAAGTGTTCACTTCTCCTCAGGAGTGTTCTATTTTGAAAAGAAACCTCAGGCATGCTGTCAGCTTCCCTGTTCAAGATATGGGAAGTCCTCCCTGGGAGCATTCCTCTGGATGTTTAATCAAAGACAGGTTCCCAGATAAGCCCTCATACTTCGGACAGCCAAGGTTTGGGTTTCCCAAGATCCAGTTCCTCCGGCAGGGAAAAAAAAAAAAGCAAAAGCCCACATTCTGTGTTTATCTCACATTCTTTGGTTTCCAAGATTGTGGTGATCTTCCCTGCCCTGCCAGGAGCTCTTCGCTGGACCAAAAGCGACCGCTCATGGATTCCCAGCCACAGAGAGGCCAGAAACGGTCACAGAAAAGGGGGGAGGGGCAGGCCTCCGGCAGCACCGGCACTGGAAACAGCAGTCCCAGAACCAGAAAGACAAGCACGATCTTTGCAGCCCCTCCACCTGGACATTTGGCCCCGGAGCCCCCAGGCCACGGGGGTGGCACTCTTGACTGCCCCTTTTAAGGGAAAGCAGCTGAGCACATTCTCATCTGCTCCTGCCAACCCCCCCACCCCTCCCAGTGTCATGCCTCTGAGTTCCTCCGAGCTTTTCCATCCATTTCCAAACTCCTCTGAACCTTTCCAACCCCCGCCCTGCCTGCGCTTTCGGACCCGCCGGTACCACCCAAACCCCGTCCTCCCGTGATGATGCCCTTGCCGCTGCTCCCTCCTGCACCTGAACAGGACAAGCCAAGCTAGCCCACTTCTCCTCATTTCCCCGGGATGCACATGTGTCACCCTTCTCCCACCGTTTCAGCCCCCACTTGGCTTGCATGAGAATGTGGATGATTCTGCCCGAGCCACCGTGGAGGGAAGATGGCCCAAGAGTCAGGCGCGTGCTCGCCGCTGTCTACAATCCACCAGACTTCAGAACAGTTGCGAGGGCCAACATCTGGCTCCTCTGATAGCGTCTGCTTAGCTGAAAAGCAAGTGCTGATTTGAGTGAGCGCCACACACTGTCCTGGGTCCAGCTTAATTGTCGTGGCTGTCCCTAAGGAAGGAGGGAGCTGGTCACCGAGCTGAGCGCCCTGACTGAGGCATGTCCCCTGAAGCAGATCGGTTTTGCACGGTTCGCCTTCTGAGGAGTAGCTCCCGCCTTCTAATTCCTGGTGCCCGTGAGGATGCTGTGGCTGATGGGGACTGGCCCGCCCTCGGTGCACCTGCCCAGGAGCCTGTCATGACAATACCGTGGGCGCTGGACTCGGGCATGACTTGCACGTCAGCAAGAAATAACTGGCGAGGACCTTCACCATCTCTGCAGCGTGTGGCTGAAGCCAGACACCGCAATCCACATCCGCAGGAGAGGGTACCATGTATCACTGCTCAGGCTTGCTGTCAGCCGCCCCGCATAGGAGCTGCCTCATCCTCCTGCCGGTGCCTACCCCAGTCACAGACGTACCTCAGAGGAAGCGGGGAGGTCATACACTGCACAAAATACACCCGAGGGGCGCCCGGGTGTCTCCTGATTTCAGCTCAGGTCGTGATCTCAGGGTCCTGGGATCGAGTCCCACATCAGACTCTGCACTCAGCACAGAGTCTGCTTGTCCTTCTTCCTCTCCTCTTCTCCTGCCCTCTTTCCTTCTCTTTCCCTCTCAAATAAATAAATAAAATCTTTTAAGAAAATACACTCTAGCATTGCTTCAGCTTTTGATAGTAAAATCACACAGCCTCCTTTGGAGACAGTGCACCGTCCTGACCCTGTGGCTCATGGGTCCCCGGGGCACGTCCCCCAGTCTGGTCGACAGATCTGTAATGGAACGGCAGGGAGGCGAAGAAGCATTCTTGTTCTGATGGGTGCTAAGACGTGGTAGCCGTTCATGATTTTGTCACAGGTTTCCCTGACGGGTCCTGTAATACTCTACTCCAGGCTTTCCTCCAAAAAGAAAAAAAAAAAAGAGGAATAAACAGGAGGGAACTGAAGCTCCTCGTGCATGTGGTGGTCTTCAGAGTTAAGGCTTCTGTATCAGTCAGTGGTCTCCCAACAGGATGTGCATGTGTGTACATCAGGCAAGACTTGAGGAATTGGCTCACACAATTACAGAGACTCGGAGGGTCCAAAAGCTAGTGGAGGTGGGCCGACAGGCTGGAGATGCAGGAAAGAGTTGCCGTTCATGTCCAGAGGCTGTCTGCTAGAAGTCATTGTTGGAGAGGTGAGTGTGTTCTAAGAAGGCCTTCAACTGGGCACCTGGGTGGCTCAGTGGGTTGGGCCGCTGTCTTCAGCTCGGGTCATGATCTCGGGGTCATGGGATCGAGTCCCGTGTCGAGCTCTCTGCTCGACAGGGAGCCTGCTTCCCTCTCTCTCTCTGCCTGCCTCTCTGCCTACTTGTGATCTCTGTTAAATAAATAAATAAAATCTTTAAAATTTAAAAAAAAAAAGAGGGCCTTCAACTGATTGGATGAGGCCCACCCACATTATGGAAGGCAATCTGCTATACTCAAAGTCCACTGATTTAAATGTCGTATTGTATATATGTTATTTTCTGCTTATTATGTTTTGATATCTTAAAAAAATGAAAAATAAAACAAGCAAACAAACAGAAAACCTTCCTAGCTGATTCTTAGAGTAAAGCCCCTGCAAGGAGCATGCTTTCCATGTGTAAGGTAACTCATGCAGAGCCACACTCTTCCGTCTCGCCCATGCACCCCAGGAGACCACATTTGTCTGCCTTAGTCATCCCAAGGCAAGATACCAGCTGACTAGAGGCTACCCATCTAGCCTCAAGCCTTCCAAAATTATTCAAACAAGCCAGTCCCCAAACTGGGAATCCTGCCCTGCTTTGCCTTTCCTCAGAAACTCCAATAAAAGCAGTGCTCTCCCCGCCCTCCTGCATCATGCCTCCTGGCCACTGTGTTGTCTCCGTGTGCCCCTGTGTGGTGTGCTGGGCCTCCTGTCTTGAGGTACATGTACATGGTACGTTCTGTTGCCTTGAGCCTCTCCCCCATCTCCAGGTGGCTGCACCTGACTGACCATCTCAGGGAAGAAGACAGAACGCTTGGTGTCAAGAACAGCATGTCTAGTCACAACCCAGAGGGGACTTAGGAGATGCCCCTCGCTGGCCCGTGGGCTGATTGGCTGTCCCGGTTGGGCTCTGCCTTCTGGGAAGTTTCCGTGGCTGTTGGCGTTCTGTGCGCTCCTTTGCTTTGCGTTGCCTCTTTTGGATGCTGCCAAGGCTTCTGACCAGAAATCGGCGATGTCCTTCTCCTAGAACTCGGGTTCCACTGGCAGCCAGCCCCAGGCTCAGCAGAGCAGGAGAGGCCCTCCAGCCTTCCCCACAGGGCTGGCATTGCAGGCTACCATGCTCACAGAGCCGCCACTGGACGGAGGGTAGAGACCTGTTCTTCCCGCAGCTGGCTCCCCGGGGGTCAGGTGCCCCGCGGGCAGGTGAGGGCTGGGTGACTGTGAAAATGCTCAGGAGGATGAGCAGAATGGGGATGCGGGTCCTTATCCACGCCCATCTTCCTTGGGTTCTCCCAAACCAGCAAGGGGTCCTCCTTCAAGAGAAGCCCACCACGGTGCCCCAGAAAGGTCGATGCCGCGGGCAACCCCTTCTCTTCTCCATGGCTCCTTGCTGTTGCTCTCAGTTCCTTAACCCCACGGGGTGTCATGGGTCCCTGGAGATTGTGGCTCAGCATTTAACAAAAAAGGGACAGGGGGAGGAATGACTCATTCTGTGCCCCCCAAAATACCTGAGGAGTTTTCCTAGCTGAATAAATGTACCCCCAGGGTTGACAGGAGCATTTGGGGAGATGACTTAAGTCTAGTGCTGACTCAGCAGCCGTCCACCACTTCGTCTGCCTGGCTCACTAACAAGCTGGTTTTTCTGCCTCTGTGGGTTGAAGACTCCATCCATGACAGGCAGGGTCTGACTCAGCGCTGAATCAGAGTATGTGTGCAGGAAAGAGATGTCACCTGTCGTCGGAGGCTCAGAAGGTCACAGAGCTAGAACCATCACAGCTGAACGAGAGCAAGACCTTGCAAGCCGTTTGTGGTGGGGAATAGAAGGAGAGCCGGTCTCAGCCCCTCTCCACCACCTCCTGGACCCTGATTTTCCTCCCTTAAAATCATGCCAAGGATGCTAAGTGAGCCGTGAAATATCACTGGTTTGAATCGACTCATCAGGTCACAAACCAAAACCACTAATGGTGTCTTGGTCCAACCTCGTAACTTTTTGGAAACTTTGGGTTGTTGAAGAATCTCCTTTGGTTATGAAGAAGTAGTTTGTCTTCTCTTAAACTTCAGTCTCACGTCCTATGGGACATTCCTGTCCCCGTGCATAGGCTGCCCTGAGCTGGGGGGTGTGTGAGGGCTGGGAAGGGGATCCCACCGCAGTCTCTTTCTTCTTCTTACTCAGTCGTTTGGATGGGGGGCGGTGCACAATGTTCTCTCTCTTCCAGAAGAACACACTTTGCTAGATTAGCAAGATTTCTGCTCCATTGGGCTGCTGATCGATGCTTCCCTAACCATCTCGTGGGCTGCATTTGCTGGTTCTCAGGAGGGCCCTGTGGAGATTTCCTCCTCCACCCCTGGCCTGAGACATTGGGTTTAGGCTCCCACTCTCCCCACCAGCCCCCACCCGAGGCAACAGCCCTCAGGCCCTATCTTTTTGATATCTTATCACCCAGCAGGTGGCCAGTGGTGACAGACAATGAGGTGACCTAAGTTCAGCCATTCCCAGGGTCCCTGCCAGAACCATCCAGATCCTTGAATGCAAACAGTAGGTATCTGGAGTACCCGGCCAGCACAGCCCCAAGCTCTCCTGTTTTTCCCCTGTGCCTGCTCTGTGCCCCAGGGGAATGTGTGTCCTCTTTAGTCACAACTCCATGATGGCTGAGCCTGGAAAGTCACCCCCTGCCACAGAAGCAGGGAGCAGGACATCCGGGAAGCGTGCGCTCCCCACCAGGAGAGGAGAGGGTGACATAGTGCAGCTCTGCAGAGGGCTGACCCCCCGGGGACGCCACAAAGATAGCAAGATGCCGAATTTCCCGAAAACACAGTAGTCAGTGGCGACAAGGGAAAAGGAGAATCTGAAGGGAAAGAGTGATTGTGTATGAAACAGTGTGGACTGACAAGATAGTAAAACCTAGATGTGCTTCATGAAGGTGTTGTAACACGGGGGCTGTGTCCGTAGTTTGGCTGTTGTAGATAAAGCTTCTATAAACATTGGGGTGCATGTATTCCTTTGAGTTAGTGTTTTCGTGTTCTTTGGGTAAATGCCCACTAGTGCAATTGCTAGATCCTGGAGTAGGTCTATTTTTAGTTTTTTTACGGGACCTCCATACCTTTTTCCAAAGGGGATGCCCCAGTTTGCATTCCCACCAATCGTGCACAGGGCTCCCCTTTCTCCACATCCCCGCCAACACCTGTTGTTTCTTATTTGTTGATTTTAGCTGTTCTGACAGGTGTGAGGTGATAGTTCATTCCAGTTTTATGATTTGCATTTTCCTGATGGTAAGTGATGTTGAGCATCTTTTCATGTATCTGTTGGTTCTCCGGATGACTTCTTTGGAGCAAAGGCTGTTCCTGTCTTCTGCCCATTTTTTGCACGGATTCTTCACCTTTTTGACTGATGAATGGAAAAAGAAGATGTGGTATATATATACACAATGGAATATTATTCAGACATAAAAAAGGATGAAACTTTGCCATTTCTGATAACATGGATGGAGCTGGAGATTATAATACTAAGCAAAATAAGTCTGCCAGAGAAAGACAAATACCATACGATCTCATGCAGATGGGGAATTTAAGAAACAAAACAAATGAGCAAAGGAGAAAAAAAGAGAGAGAAACACAAATCGAGAAACAGACTCTTAACGACAGAGAACAAACTGATGGTCCCCAGAGGGGAGGTGGGTGGGGAGCTGGGGGGGACACAGGTGATGGGGATGACGGCGTGCATCTGTGATGAGCACTGGGCGATGTGTGGAAGTGTTGAATCACTACATTATACAACTGACACTAATATTACACTATATATTAACTAACTGGAATTTAAATGAAAACTTATTAAAGAAGAAAAAATGTAACACATGAGGAAAAGATAATCAAGTCATTTTGAGGGAAAAAAAGAAAAAACAAAAGGACAGAGGAAGGAAGAGAGGACAGACATGAATTTTAGACCAAAATCTTATCATTTCCACAATGATTATTCTTTTTTTTTTTTTTTTAATAAACAACATCACTGGGCATTTGCCACAACAAAGAAAGCAATCAAGAGGACCTTAAAGTCCCTTAATCTACAGGGTCATAAACATCCTTAAAATCCTGACACAGCTCTGAGCCATGAATCCTTCCAGAGCTCCCAGGGCCCAGGCTTTGCCTCCAGGTCTGGGAGGGGTCACAGCTCATGCAAGCAGGAAGGCCGCGTCTACCCCCAGCAGTATTAACTTTTTCTGCTTTCATTCCACATGACAACTTGTAAAGTAAAAATACCCTAATTCAAACCTATTGCACAAATTGTTCCTGTGTTGCTTCGATATGAATCTCTTAAAATCTTTTCCTTTTTTCTCTACTTGCCAACGAATAGCCCTCCTGCCAGCTGAGCGGGGGGAGAAGCAGCAGAAGCTGGGCGGGGGATGGCTGGCCCCACAGCGGCCCCTGCGCTACCTCCGCGGCCCCCAGTCTTTGGTAGCTCCCCCACCGCACCCCCATCAGGACCTTCCCTTGTGACTCTCCATAGTAAACTGCATTTACAATTCGTTTTTACATCTCCTTTTGAAAGGAGGAAGCCCTGGGTCTTAAAAACTCCGCCTATTGACTCATTGTGCAATTCTGAGCCAGCACCTGCACCTCCCTCGTTAACCCATAAAAGGGCAGGTTCAGGTCCTTCTACCCAGGATCCGAGAGCCGGGATGAGAAGCTTACCCTCTTGGGCACCATCTAGTGGCACACAAGGGTAACACGGGCTCCCCCTGGCCAACGGCATGGTCCTGGCGGGCGGATTTTCTCAGGACCTCACAGCCAAAGCTCTGAATAACCACTTCGCCATTATCTACTTTTCCAAAACCAATTGGCTGAACAAACTTTTCTTAATTAGGGGCTGTTGCACGGCTCTAAATTGTGTCAAACAATTCAACGGAGCCCTTTCTCCAGGAGATGTCAAAGAGAGCAAGAGTGGGACTAGGGGGATGGGGTGAGAGGTCAGGCACTAGGATGGGGGATGGGGTGACAGGTCAGGCACCAGGACTGGGAGACGGGGTATGAGGACAGACACTAGTGCAAGAACAGAAGTGGGAGCAGGTGCAGAACTGACGTAGGCATGACCTGCAACACCAGAGGGCAGGACCTTCCATAAGGGCAACATCACATGCTGACATGTGACCCACGGCAGGTGAGGGCACTTGAATGAGAGATGAAGCAGAGACTGGGGGGAAACTGTAGTAAAACACTAATATGGTGAAGCTGAGGTACAACTAAAAGTTTCACAGGTGAAACAGCAACTGGGAAAAGCCCGGTTCAGGGTGACAGAGAAAGAGGAGCCCAGGCAGGATGTCTCCGGAAGAGATGGGACATCCCGAGGGATGGGGACCCGTCAGCTCTCAGAGATTCCCGGCCGTCCACAAGGCCGAGTGTCTGTACTGACCACCGTTTGCTGCTACAACCTCTCCAACACGGGTTTCTCCCCCAGAGCACTGTGTGCGGCTGGCCGTGGGCTGGTCCCACGCGGGCTGGTCCCACGCGCCGCTCCTCTGGGACACATGGGGCCCGGGCCGTGGCTGCTCCGGGGGCCGAGTGCTATGGGGCTGAGCTGGGACTGGACGCAGCCATGTCCTCCCTGTCGGCGCTCTGGCGACCGGTCGGGCCCTCGGGTCAGCAGGGGGGGGGATTAAGCTTCATCCCTTGAGAGGCACCAAGAAGCATGGCTGAGAGAAGGCGCCCCAGAGCAGCGTGCTGGCCACGATTTTCACCTTCCATTTTCACCTCCCATCTTCGGAGGCTTCGATGCTGGGGCCTTGCTCACCCCGGAGGGACTCTCCTCCAGGGCTGGTCAGCTCCTAGGCACAGCAAACAGTGGCCCTGGAGCTTTTCACATGCAAACCAACCAGTCCAGAGCACACAGCCCCCTACCTCCTCTGTGGGGCTCTCCCACTCCAGCCACTCTTCCCCTGCCGGAGTCCCAGGAGTCCCCCAGGGCAACTGCTGACGTCACTCTGACCAGCTAATCCTAAACCCATTCCCCTGCTTCCCCGACTCCTTGCCATGGAAACCACAGCGAAGGCCCTTGCCCACAGTCTCCCTCTCCCTCCGCCTCCTGACTGGCCCGGGCTTCCTCCCCAGTGGGCCCCTCCTCTTGGGATCGGTGAGAAACAAGCTGTCTTTTCAGTGGCAGTTGGTTCCTGGTCTGTTGGCTTTATTGCATCTCTAATGTTCTACCAAGTCTCTGTATTTGGAAGCAAGCAGTGACCTACCTCACCACCGTGTCCTTTGAATCAGGGTGACCTCCAGACCCAAGCTGTGGGTGCAGACAGCGTTCAACGCCCCTGGGTGACACAAGGGGAAGCATGTGCCTCCAAAAGGGATTTTTGGCAAACACCAGGCCTGGAGAAGCCAAGCAAAACCCTGGCTCTTTTTCCCCCATTGTTAATAGCGTGAGCCTGTTCCTAACACGTCCAACAGAAACTGCAGCGACGAACCCCACCAGCTTCTTTATGAGCTCGTATGAAGTAGGAGACAGCACTGACTCATTCAGGCTCCTGAAACAGAAACCAGTACGGAACTGCCCATTTAGGGACTCTTTGGGGGCAGGGAGTGAGCCCTGCACACTTCCCTCCCTGCTCCCAAGGTCCTGTAAAGCTTGCTACATTGTGTCGAAGAATATACCTGCTTCCCCTGGTGACTGCAGCCTGGGCCATGAGGAGGGAGGGTGGGGGACGGCTGTGGCCTCCAACATACCCTTGGCCGGGCAGCTCCATGAGGTGGGTGTTTCCAAATTCATCCGCAGCAAAGCACGCCTGTGAGTTTGGGCCTGGCCTCCCTGACCTCTTGCTCCTCTGTGGCAGATAATATGCTCCTTTGGCAACACACGCCCTTCATGTTGGCAGCGCCTCCCCCTCCCTGCTATGATCTCCTGCTCCAGCTAACTTCAGATGAGGGTCAGTAGAAAGGGATGGGCCGTCTGAGCAAGTCTTTAAAAGGGAGACACACAGCTGGAGAGCACCAAGGTCTGAAATCAGGGCACAGGGCACAATCGCCCCGGGCTGCCATTCCCCTTCCTTTTCTTTGAATGGATGCCCCCCGTGGCAACCAGGATGACAGGTGCACCATGAGCCATCCGAGTCATTCTTCTCTGCTCCTAGTGGCATCTGAGGTCACAAATTGCCCCAAATACGAGAAGATAGGATCGCAGAAGAGAAAGCCCATCCCCAGCCCGCCTCCTCCTTCCTTTAGGACAAAGGTGGCTTTCGTCCAGGCTCACCTCGGTCCACCCATCACATTGCAGCCCTCTTATGGGATGCGGGTTGTTCTGGGCACAGGAGAAGAGACCGTAGGCAGAACGGGGTGATGTGGAGAAAGACGTAAACTATACAAATTCCTCAGGATTTACTCCCTTCCTTAGGTCTGAGGTGTTTCATGGTCTCTCCCAGTATGATCATACCATCAGAGTTTCTAAGAATCTGCATCCAGACTCTGCTGTCTGTGCATCCTAGGAAGAGATCCCTTAGGAGCAAGGGAGACAGGATTACTTTCCTGTAAGTATTTATCAAGTTCAGTGCCACATCCAACCTAGGAGCAGCCTTGGTGCCCCTCCAGTTTGACCACGAAGTCTATACAATCCACACAAGTATCTTGACAAAGAGAATTTAATGCAGGGAACTGGTTAAATGAGGTAGGAGAAACATCAAAGCAAAAAAAGGACAGCAGCTCCCACCCAAATGCCTGGGAAAACAGAATGAGGACTCTGGGCTTCTCAGAGCCTATGGGGACCCCCCCCCCAGCTGAGACTGCCTGCTCTGGGGGCTCCTCTGGCGCGATGTGCTGATTCTGGAGGGGCGGGAGGCTGCAGGAGGGGACCGCCCAGCTCCTGGGTGGAGCAGGAGTGGGTGGCAAGCAGAACAGTGGCTCTTTCCTTCTTGCCCAAGGTCTTTCCATGGGTCTTGCCAGCAGAAGCTAAGGAAGGTGACTGACTGGCAAGGAGAAGCACGCTTTGCAGAGTCTCGATCCTGGCCTCCAACTCGGGTTTAGAAGAATCTGGAGCTCAGAGACAAGAGCTCCTTTTCCCAGTGGTTTCGTCAATGGAGTCAAGGCGAGCCCGCATCCAGGCAGTCCCATCACGCCCCAGCAGAGGTGCGTCTGTATCCACGGCCACACCACCCACCACACCAGCGGTGGCTCCCAGCAACAATTTTATTTGCTCTTCGTTCTGTGGCCCTGAGGTTTGGGTTGAGCTCTCCCAGGACAGGACATACCCCTCAGATGGCCCTGGGTCTGCACTGTGCGGTCTCAGATGGCCTTGCTCATGTCTGGGGGGTGGACTTGTTCTCCAAGAGATCTCCGAAGTTAGGCTCCTGCTCTCCCACAGAGACAGGGACATGGAGATGTTATCTCCCTCAATGGTTATCCTTGGGAAAGTCCTGGATTGTAAAACTGGCAAAGCGTTTTATTTTTAAGATTTTATTTATTTGAGAGAGACAGCGGGCGCTAGTACAAGCAAAGGGAGCAGCAGGCAGAGGGAGAAGCGGGTTCCGCTGAGCAGGGAGTCTGATGTGGAACTCGATCCCAGACCCTGAGATTATGATCTGAGCTGAAGGCAGACACTTAGCCGACTGAGCCACCGAGGCGCCCCAAAACTGGCAAGGGCTTTTTAAGAAAGATTTACATACACCTGGGGCACCTGGCTGGCTCAGTCAGTTAAGTGTCAGACTCGGTTTCAGCTCAGGTCACTATCTCCAGATCCTGGGATGGAGCACTGTTGGGGGAGGAACCCCCGCTCAGCGGGGAGTCTTCTTGTCTCCCCCCTCTCTGTCCCTCCCACACTTGTGCTCTCTCTCTCTCTCCAAGATAAATAAATCTTTTAAAAAAATATGTTTATACACAGACCTGTACCCCTGGGGATAAAAATACATTATATGTTTATTAAAAAAATAAAAAATAAAATTTCAAAAAAAATGTTTATATACATCTCAAAGAGACAGAGAAAAAAAATTACAGTGACAAAGGTTCTCGAGGAATAGAGGGCAAGTCTGTCTTGGTCACAGACTGGCCCAGGCTTCCTCACAGGACTGGCTCAGGGTGACAGAGACAGAACAAGACAGAGACACAGACACAGGGACAGACAAAGAGCGAAGGAGCTTCAGAACCTCTGGGGCCTACACTTGGAACTCCTACAACCTAACCTCTCCCACATTCTTTTGGTCAAAGCAAATCACAGGCCAGCCAGAGGAGGTGACCCGTCCACCTGCCTGCACGCCACCACACACCAGGCCCCTTGTGAGGTTGGGTAGCAGCGGAGGAAACTTCTGCCCACATCAAGAGGCCTGATCTGATTTGTACTTGCTCACCTAGGGACCAGAAGACTCAGGGCTACCCTGCCTCTGTGCCGGCTAGTCCCGTGGGGTAAACCAGCAGGGACTCCGCACCCCCACTGCTCCTGAAGTGGCTTCCGGAGCGGCAGCCTCTGCAGCACCCAGCGGCAGACTGGGGAAGGGGCGGTGTGGACGACACACGCGGGGGCCCTGGGGCTGTCCGCTGCTGGTGGCGGTGGAGCAGAGCGCGCATGAGTGTCCCGCAGCCCCAGGCTGAGCGTCAGCTCAGCTCACCCCTCCGCCCACCAACCCATCGCCCTGGCCACCCCTGCCAAGGCGGGCCACCGGCCCCAGCCTGCACTCAGCTCTGCGCACCAGTGCGCACACCGTGGCATCCGGCCTGCCCTGCCGTGCCTGGGCCAGCACCCAGACAAGCAGGCCTCAGCACAGGACCCCGTGTCAGTACCCACCCCAGGTGCTCCAGGAAACGTTGTCCCCACTTTCCCTCTCACCAGGGAACCAACTCGGGCCCGGGCATTGCTCAGATTCCTCCAAAGACTTTTTGTCTGGAGACCCTGGTTTAGCTTGGCCGGTGGAAGCGGGGGGAGCAGGAAGCCCGGGGTGGTTAGAACTCCGAACAGAGCCGGCCATTCCGTGGTCCCTTGGTCCAGACCTGCAGGGTTCCTATGTGGGCCCCGGGCAATGCTGTATTCCCACTACAACTGGCAGCTTTATGTGCCCATAAATCCATTTTAAACTTTAATAGTGGAAACCCAAGCAATGATCCTATAAAACGATTCCAGCACCTACCTGTGTTGGATGGACGCCAGCACCCCTCCCCCCATAGCTACTGATTGCCAGGGCAGATCCTCACGGAGATTTGTCTCTTTCCTCTGTGTTACTCTACCCTAGCATCCGCAAAAATTAAAAAATAAATCCCAAGAGAGGATTAGCACTGTTTCAATGCACGTACCAGTGCCAGGTATTTTTCACACGTGCTGTTCTATGCAATCCAACAGTCCCTCTCTGTGACCACAGTCTCTGATGTCTGGGGTCCCCAGAAAGCCCTGGCACCTTCATCCCTCCGCAGGCCTGTCTAGAATGCCAGCTGGCTATGCCTGCGTCTGGGCTGGGTCCAACAGGGAGCCTGCCCGTGCTGGGGATGCGGTGTTGGCAGGTCACTAACTCTCCCCTTCCGCCCTCCATGCACCTGCCTGTCTGTCCTCTCTCATCCTGTAGGCCTCGGCTCCTCGGTGTACTGCTTCACCAGAGGACAGTACCTCTGGGCGTGGCTGGTCCTTTCTGTGCTCCTGCCTAGCTTCCTGGTCCAGGGCCTGAGCTATCTGTGGTTCCAGGCAGACGGGCACCAAGATCATTGCTTGTTGCTCATGCTACACCCCCCCCCCCAGCTGGGCGTGTGGAACAAGCAGCCTCCTTTCACCTCTGGAGGGTGATTTCATCTATGCAGTAGGAGTCCATGTATTCTGCTCTTGGGACATAAAAGTTCAAGGTTGGAAAAAAGCTCACAGCCACCACTTTGAACCCCTGCTCTGACAGGCATCCCCTTTTCCAGCCTGTACTTCCCTGAGCAGGTCTATCATCAGGAAGCTTCTTCCAGAGGCAGCTGTGACCCTTCCAAAGCTTTCGTTTTGTTTTGTTTTTATCTTCGGCCGAATTCTGTCTTGTTCTTGTTTTAATTTGTTAGTCATGGCTTTGGAGCCATAGCAAGTGCCTCACTGAAGACAGTTGCATTTAAACCCCTACGACCTTAGTGGCAGAATGTGATGTAGATTTAGCCACAGATGAGGCCACGGAGCTGGCCTGGTGACATTTGCATCTAGGCTTTATTTCAGGGCGAAGCTATCTGAGAGCCAAGCCCAGTTTCTTTCCATAAACAAAGCAGCCTGGGCGGGCCTGGTGCCCAGAAGCCTTACCTGGGGTTCACCTCTGCAGGTCAGATACTGGTATCCCTGGGAGCAGCTAGAAGCAGGGAGAGTCAGGAGACCTATCCGTGAGTTTATGTAAGTGGCCAAGTTCAGCTCTTAGCCACCTCATCATCCCATAGCTGCCAGGAATTTAAAAAAAGGGGTGGTGGGTTTGGGAAGTTTGGGAATCATATCAGCGAACCCTGCAGCTCAGGTGTTTGCTAAGCCCTAGATGCAGGGACCGGAAGGGTGTTCAGAAGGCGCAAGTTTGAGATCTCGGGCTTGCTGCTGGCTGTGCTTGGTGGTTTATGCCTTCAGCCTGTCCCCAAGGCCTTGTCTGGAGCAGCTGATGTAAGTTTTCTGTTTTCTTAGCTGAATCTGAAGAAGGAATGATTTCTCATGCAGAATCAGCTTCAGAAAGGAAGGAGTCCTTTCCACCCAGTGCAGAACTCAAACAGGAGGTAGGGTGCTTCTAATAAAGACATCAAGTAACCCCCCCCGAATTCATGGGACCCCACAGAACTGGAGCCCCCTCCATCTCTGAATCACCCAGAGCACATTTGCAACCGCAACAATTTTGCTTAAAGCTAGGCCTTTGTGTTCAGGGAGTGTGGTTCCTCTGAGAAGATGGAACTTGTCCTTGTGGGAAGAGAGCAAAGATGGTTTTTTGCTCAGACTCACCAAGGATTCACTGCCTTCCTGGGCACCATCTACTATCGTAGGGATCAGCCCCTTGCCTCAGCCCAACCCAGTAGGACACTTATTAAGGGCTGAGAGGCCCTGTATATGACCTTGAGGACTGCTAGCCAAACATCTGGTAACCCAAAAGGTGAGTTCAATGAATGCCAGTCACTTGAGAGAAGCTTCCGGAATAACTGCCTGATAAGTCTGCCTTCTGGGGTTGTGTGCAGGGATGGGGCTGTGTCAGGCCCATGTCATGTCTGTATTCATGCTGCTGGTGTCTGCCTGTGACTCCATGTTCTCTGCTTCTCCGTGCTCCCTCAAAGTTTCATAAATGGAGCTCTGAGTTTCTGGTATGTATCAACCCTGAGATGGATGAGGGAAGAGAGTCATGAAAACTAGGTCTCAGGAAGAACAACTCGTCAGCTGTATCTCTTTTTATTTTAAAAGTAGGGGGAATTTATGAAAAACACGTAATTTAAAAGGAAAAAAGATACGAGAAAGGTCAGGAAGAGGAACAATAGGTCAGAAAACAGAATAAAGTGAAAACGTACAGTTGTTCACTGGAAGCCACAAATTTGGCTCTAAGGGTTTTTTTTAAATTCAATTAATTCTCATATAGTGTATTATTAGGTTCAGAGGTAGAATTAGTGATTCGTCAGTTGTATTTAACACCCAGTGGCTCATCCCATTATGTGCCCTCCTAATGCCCATCACCCAGTTACCCCACCCCCAAAGCACAGCAAAAGAAACAGTTAACAACACCAAAAGACAACCTATAGAATGGGAGATGTTTGCAAATGTCTAATCAGATAAAGGACCAGTATCCAAGATCTATAAAGAACTTCTCCAACTCAACAACCAAAGAACAAATAATACAAAAAAGTGCAGAAGGGGCACCTGGGTGGCTCAGTGGGTTAAAGCCTCTACCTTCGGCTCGGGTCATGATCCCAGCGTCCTGGGATCGAGCCCCACATCGGGTTCTCTGCTCAGCAGTGGGCCTGCTTCCTCCTATCTCTCTGCCTGCCTCTCTGCCTACTTGTGATCTCTGTCTGTCAAATAAATAAATAAAATCTTTAAAAAAAAATGGGCAGAAAACATGAACAAACTTTTCTCCAAAGACGACAACCAAATGGCCAACAGACACATGAAAAAGTGCTCCACATCACTCATCAACAGGAAAATACATATCAAAACCACAATGAGAAATGACCTCACACCAGTCAGAATGGCTAAAATCAACAACACAAGAAACAACAGATGTTGGCGAGGATGCGGAGAAAGGGAACCCTCCTGCTCTATTGGTGGGAATGCAAGCTGGTGCAGCCACTCTGGAAAACAGCATGAAGTTTCCTCCAAAAGTTGAAAATAGAGCTACTCTATGACCCAGCAATCTCACTACTGGATATTTACCCCAAAGATACAAACGTAGGGATCCGAAGGGGCACGTGCACCTGAATGTTTATAGCAGCAATGTCCACAATAGCCAAACTATGGAAAGAGCGCAGATGTCCATCAACAGATGAATGGATAAAGAAGATGTGGTATATACATGCAATGGAATACTATGCAGTCATCAAAAGAAATGAAATCCTGCCATTTGCAACGATGTGGATGGAACTAGACGTGGATAGAACTATTATGCTGAGCGAAATAAGTCAGTCAGAGAAAGACAATTATCATATGACCTCTCTGATATGAGGAATTTGAGAAACAAGGCAGAGGATCATAGGGCAAGGGAGGGAAAAATAAAATATGGCTCTAAGTTTTATAAACAGCCCAGCAGGCGTAAGAAACTGGGTGGTTTGCAGTGTTTCTGAAATTTTTGAAGTAAAGCAAACACACAAACAGAAATCCACTTCCTTAGAAGAAAGCCTTGAAAGTTGAAATAGAAAGCAGCCAATCTGATCCTCCGCCCACAACGGGCCAGTAGGATTCCCACAGAGAAAACTGGGTGATGAGCTGCCCTTAAGCCAATCCACCCCGAACTCTGAAACACTGTCTCTCCTGGGGTCTGCAAAGCAGTTTCAGAGAAGTGCAGTTTTGCGAAAGCACCTGTAGGAGGAGCCAAAACAATTGCATTTTGCACAGTCCTGCCTAATGCTTAGGAACGGAGCATTTTAAGTGACTTTGGAACCCAATGCAGAAGCATCCGCTAGTAACAGAGAAACTGACAATACACAAGCCTCTTGAGGCAAAGCAGCTTACGAGAATACAAGCACTTATAACACAAATGTATGTTTTATTCCAAATGCCTCTAGTTGTTGATGTGAAGTCTGAATCTATGCGGGTAACCCTGGCATAGTGATCACTTGTTTAAACACAGTCAGCCACTTTTCTCCATTCGGTTGTTGTATTTCCACGATAATGCTACAAGTTGCCCACATCCTTTTGAAAAAAACGTCGCAGCCTCTAAATTCATTCGGAGCCTCAGCATGGAGTGTTGGAGATATGGATGCCTCATCCCAAACTTAGGACCCGTCCGGGTTTAGAAATTTTTTCTTTGGTGGAAACTTAAAGTTCTTAAAAAGAAAGTCGAGGTGAACTTTAAGGCTATGTAAGGAAGGCAGGCTCCGCATAGACGAGTAAAAATTTAATATTTCAGAGTATGTAAAACACTTTTGCCGTGCTCAGCGTCACTCAGCATCAAGGAAATGCAAATCAAAACCACAGTGAGGTACCACCTCGCACCTGTCAGAATGGCTAAAATCAACAACACAAGAAACGATAGGTGCTGGCGAGGATGTGGAGAAAGGGGAGCCCTTCTGTTCTGTTGATGGGAATGCAAGCTGGGGCAGCCACTCTGGAAACAGCACGGAGGTTCCTCCAACACTTAGAATTACCACGTGATCCAGCAATTTTCCCGTCTGCGTATGTACCTGAGGAATCGAGAGCAAGGTCTGGAAAAGACATTTGTACCCCGGTGCCCACGGTGGCTACATGTGCAGCAAAGCAAATCAACAGGTGATGAACTGTGGTCTCTACCCACAATGGGATATTATTTTGTCTTTAAGGAGAAGGAAATTCTACAGCACGGGTGAATCTTGAGGACTTGAGGCTAAGTAAAATCAGCCAGTCCCACAAGGGGGGATAATTCACTTACACCGGGTTCTTAGAGCAGTCAGCCTCCCAGAGACAGAAAGTGGAACCATGATGGGGAGCGGGGCGGGAGCGGGGAGCTAATGTTTAATGGGAGCAAAGTGTCAGTTTTACAATATAAGAAGAGTTCTGGAGCTGGATGGTGGGGTCGAGGTACACTATTGTGAATTACTACAAATTATTAATAATCTATTGAATTGTAGTGTTAGTTTAAATTATGTTCATTGAATAAATCATCAATACCACTGAACTGTACACTTAAAATGGTTAAGATGGCCAGTTTTAGGTTATCTGTATTTTACAGCAATTTAGAAAAAAAAGATTTAAAAAAGGAACAGCCATAGCCAAAACCTTGAGCTATTCACAATCTCAGGTTCAACATTGCCAAAAAGTGTGAAGATGGAGGGCGGCCGGCGGCGTCTTCAAGCTGCGGGCCCGTGACGGCTGTCCTCGATGAAGCGGGTATGTACGGCTTTTTACTCAAGCTGTTAGTGGGGACAGATCAGAGCTGGCCGAGAAACTTCATTCCAAAGTTAGGTTAATGACTGTGTTTCCAAGGCTCCACTCAGAGTGTTTGTTCCTGAACCAACTAGAAAGCTTATACCTGCGTCCACGTAGTGGGATATGCTGGGTGTGCATTTGCTCACGCGTGCAGATGCGTGTGGCAGGAAGGTCTGGACACACGTGATGGAGATGTGGGCTCTGAGGCCTGACCGGGGACACAGCTGCAAGCAGGCAGCTCAGA